CTTTTTACCATACCAATACTTTATAATACTGTACATTAAACATGGTGCTACCAGGTCAAAGTATGTCACATTAGAAGAAATATTTTAAATAGGAGTCAAGTTCATTATTTTTGCAAATTGTTAACATATTTCTCTAATCACAATTTTCAATATTGACATAAGCCACAAAAACATTTATTGTGTATTAACATCAAAGATCTTATAAACACAATATAGCGTTCTCCGCGATTTACGCGTAACAAATAGAAGGGTCGGTCAAGGTTCAAAAGTTTCCAATTTAGCAAGAGGGCGCCATTCATGCGCTATTATACCAAAGAGAAAAAGTAATCAGTTTTGGAAGAGGGCGTCCTATCTGTTGCCATGGATCTGAGATGGTTCCTGTTCTGCTGTTCACAGGATTGATACCCTAAAGGTAAAGTGGCGCGGTCAAGGGTCAAAAGTTTCCAATTTAGCAAGTGGGCGCCATTCATGCCTTATTACAGAATTTGCACACATAAATCGCGGAGAACGCTATCTTGTGTTTATAAGATCTTTGATTGACATGCTGTAGAGTCACTATATAGCAAATTGTTAACATATTTCTCTAATCACAATTTTCAATATTGACATAAGCCACAAAGAAAATTTATTGTGTATTAACATGCTGTATTGTATACACACTATACTTTAGAGCCTGCAGGAATGATAAACAAATTAGCAAAACATTTCATCTTAATCCCCACAGAATGTGAGACAAAAAATGTTTCTATGGGTACAAATCTAAATACCTGAAAAAATGCAATATTTGGTAATGTCATCTCCTTGCTCTGTATCTGTTTTAATTAAAACATGGATGAAATCAGAGCTTAAAACCAGATTAAAGAGATCCTTAATTTTTCTCGCAAATTTTTATATCGCAGTAATCCCACACCTTATTCTTCAGGGTCGTAAAACACCATAATCTCTCTCGCCTTCCACCTGGATTTCGGCAATAGTTGTGATTGCCAAAGCCTTTCTTTTCCTGTACTTTCTTGTCGTCGGAATAATAGTTGTGTTTATGTGGCCAGTTTGAGGACCATTTTTGGCATGTTATCCCTTTTCTGGTATAATCTAATTTTCCACGGTACTCGCGGCCATCACCTGCTTTGCTTTGAAAACATTTCTCTATGAAATAAGAAAAAGACAATTTAGAATGTTTATTCTTATTAAAAATGGAATTATAGAACTCATTTTTATTAAATTTAAATCACATCATAATATAAATTAACATTTAAAATTAATATATATTCTATTTAATCTTCCACTTTTGAACATTTAACTGGAAATCTAAATATAAGGTTCAGTAGGATTTTGAAAAATATTTTTCAAATACACAGCTTACTGGATCCCTCCCCCCCCCCTCCTCATCGCAACCTTTCAAAAAAGGATCCCTCCAAAAAATTGCCACTTTTTGTTGTTACACATAGCTTATCAATTAGTCATTGTCCTTCAGAAAATTCATTTTAATACCTCTACATAACAGATAGGATAATAAAACAATAGGTTTACCTTTAACAGGTAGCTTATTACACTTGTACATGGCACGAATCTGTGCAATGTCTAAATCACTAACACGGTCTCTCTGACCGATTTCAAATCCGTAATCTCTATATTGTTTTTTAACTTTAATGGTTGGTTTGCCGTTCTTTGTGAAGTATAATGCTCCATAGTGCATAACGCTCTGGTAATCATACATAAACCCCATGGACGTGACGTTTGCTTTGTCAATTTTTCCAAAGTTCTTCTCCAGTCCAGGCGCTACATTTTTGTCTACTATTGTAATGTAATCATCCCTGTCTCTGCGACCCTGTTAAAAATAAGAGAAAGAAACGAAGACTTAGTTAAAAAAAAAAGCATTAAATTGAGTACTATCTTAAAAAAGAACACTGCCCACAAATAATAGAATGTCCCTTTATAGTTGAGTGTCCCTTTAAATTCAAACATCCCTTTAAAGTCAAAAATGTCCCTTTAAAGTTGAATGTCCCTTTAAAGTCAAATGTCCCTTTAAAGTTGAATGTCCCTTTAATAGTTTAATGCCCTAAAAAGGGCTCAATGACCTAATTGGACAATATAAGTCTAGTTGCAGTAGCTTTAATAATGACATAGATGCCAAGCATTCTGCACGCTTCATAATATTTTCCGGTCATTAAAACAAAATGCCAGCTTCCTGAACGAGTAAGGGTACATTGTGTTGCAGCTAATAATCAGTGCAATGGAAGTAGATCCTACCCGGTACACAGTTGTGGGTGGGCAGGTGCAGCAGATAATTGCCCAAATTGGTAAACAAACCCATCACATTTTATGTGATAAAATTGTGTGATGTGCACATAGATGGGTTTGATGATGTCATATTATGCCCAAATATGGACACTTTACATTATATTCAGTTTTATATATTATTTTTAATTAATTCTTTTTGTAAATTAAGAACTGAAAGTTTGTTCCTTTTTTTTTTCTTTTTCCTTATCGATATATTTTTTAATTAGTTTATTTTTTGTTTGATTATTCCATTAGGGCTACTCGCAGTAGTCTAAATTTATTTATATTACTATTAACTAATTAGTTTCATATTCTTTTTATGTCTTGTTTTACTATGTGTATTGAGGGTCCCCTAATGATCTGCTTTGGCTGGATTGACCACCCTAATTAAAGATTGTTGAAATAAATGAATAAAAAAATAAAATTTGTTAGTGTGAACAAGTTTGAAAACTCATTTGCCAACCGCTGTCACTTTACTCTAGCTCTACTTCAAATTTAATATTGTTTTCCTCTGTCAGACATGAATCCATAAGGAGGACTGACCTTTATCTGACATGGAGAATGTACCTTTGAAAACTTCCCCTGAATGCTCCCCTCCAGTAGTACAATATATTCAATACTACGATAATTTAGATTAGAAATATTAGTAGAATACTAACTTGTTCATGCCAGAATCCAATTGCATGCCCGAGTTCATGTAACACAGTTCCAGGAATGGCACATCCAGGACCAAGAGAAACCAACTGCCTTCCCCCTTGCCGACCAATGTAAGACCAACACCTACAGTACACAAGAAATAACATCACATTTTAAGCATAAGCTTTTCACAGACATTAATTTAATGGTTTCATTGTCACTATAATCTAAACTTAGGAAATATTTTTATGAAACTGACGTTTCATAAATATATGAGTTCCATAAGGGACCAAATAATTGTGACACTTATTCAAGAGAGGCGCTTAGTGAATCTGTCCACTTGCATTATTACAGTAGCTTTTAATTGAAAAAGTCAACAAGAAATTTTTCCCTCATCAATTAACACACAAAAAAAAAATGCCATCCCTATATTCCTCTTAAGAACTCTGTAAATTAGTGAATCGGCCGCCAAATTTGTCAGCTCTGTGTATAAATATTTGCCCGACACAACTCCAGAAGACTGTATCCTAACGTTGTAGTCCCATAAAACCGTGTTGGAGCAAACATGCTTTGGACTCAGTAGTTATTTAAACTGAACCATGAAGTAAACCACATATCTTTGTTTAATTTGATATTATCAAACCAATAAACTTTGCAAATATTTTTTATCAAACTTACCCAGGCTGAAATTTGAATTGGATATAGTCTTTGTCGGCCTTTTTTTTCTTTCTGAAATCAATGCATGTATGTCTTTCCCATTGTCGCATTGCTCCTCTTATAGTGTCGACGGTCTTCTTATCTGAAATAATAATGATACTAAAAATGATGATGGTAGAGGTTGTGACGGAGGTGATGATGGTGCTGGTGGTGATGTAGATCTACGGTGGGCAACCCATGGGTCGTGACCCAAGTTTGGGTCGTGACTGAATTTTTGAGGGTCGTCAAATCGCATCTGGGTCTCTAAAAAATTATACAAAAAGTCTTGCATGTTAAATACTTTAAAAATCTGAAGATTCCCTTAAAAACATTAATACAAAACATTTTTTTAAATAAAATAATGTGAAGTTTTTTGCTGAAAAGGTGTCAAAATATAAGTTGAAAGATTTTTTTTTTATTTTGAGACTGCTCTACATTTTGCGATACTGTACAATGAAAAAAAAATTAAGTGTCCCCTAATAGAGAGGTTGAATATGATTGATTTGGCACACTCAGAGAGTGTTCCTGTCCCATTAATAGGGGTGTCCCTTTAATATGGGTTGGCTGTAGTGTTAAAAGATGTAATTCTCATTTCATGAAAAAGTGTCCCTTGAATAGGGGTGTCCCAATGTTGGATTCTACTGCATTAATACATTGATCATGTATTTTGTATCTTGGACGGCATTTCTATGATAGCTGAAGGTTGTGGGTTGTGGGAGGTTATGGCAAGAAATTATGGGTCCTAAGGGGTAAAAGGTTGCCGACTGTAGATGTAGATAATGATAATGGTCATGGTGGTGATGTAGATAATGATAATGGTCATGGTGGTGATGTAGATAATGATAATGGTCATGGTGGTGATGTAGATAATGATAATGGTCATGGTGGTGATGTAGATAATGATAATGGTGGTGGAGATGGGGCCGAGGGTGAATGTGATGGTGATCAAATTGACAGAGTTGATTATTATAATGGTAATAATGAAACTTTATGTGAGTTGATGGGCCGAGCGGTAAAGCAGGGGCGCCGCTAACTACAGCCTTAACAACAACGCAGGTTTGAGCGGCTCCTTGTCCAGCTTCACCTGGTAGATCCCAAGTCTAATTGGATAAAGACGTAAAATGGAGGTCCAGTATACACATCTAGCTTGTGCACTTTAAAATTCCCATTGCATCTTTCCGAAAAGTAGAGGGTTACCCCGATGCGATGGTTCATTTCAGGCCCCTGTCGTTGTGGAATGATGTGAACATGTAGCTACTATGAAGCGCCTCTTTCTTTACGGCAGGTGGTAGTCACAGATCAAGTCATATGCAATTCAGCACAATAATGCTGCGAGTTGGTTATTCTCCGAACTTAACCTTAATGAGTGAATGATGGTTTCTAAAACAGAGTCAAGAAACAGAACTCACCAAATGTGGTATCCAGTTCATAAGGGATGATACCTCCTGGCCATAATTTACTCTTGGGTTTACGTATTGCTCGTGTTTTTCGTTTGCTACTATCCTCAAGGTTCTGCTTAGCAAGCCAGAATTGACTGTCCAAGTCCAAAACAATATCCCCTTCAAAGAACGGTGATGAAAAGCTATTTTGGGAATCTGTAGAAAAGAAAAATATGTTTTTTGATTGTCATCCCATAGTGCGAAGTTCAAGAAAATAATAAAAACAATGAGGTGAAAAAGAAAATTATATTCAAATTTAAGTCTGAGTGTGACATTTGTGGCCACCAAGAGGTGCCAGACTTATAATATTTCTTCCTCCCTGTGCCACCTTTATGTCAAATTCCTGAATCCGCCACTGTAAAGCAGAATGTTAAGTAAAGTCATTAGTGTACTACAGTTTAGTAACTGTGCAATTATGCTCTATTTCCAGTCTCATTGTCATGGTTTCAAATCCTGGGACTATAACAACTCACTGGGTACACACAGTTTCAATTTTGCTGTTGAATAAAAAATGTTGTTAAATATTAAAATACCCAAGAAACACCAAAACCTACGCAGAATTATAATTATCATTTTCCTTCATACTTTAAAGCATGTTTTTACTAGTCAAATTTATTCGAGCGAATCAAAGGTTCCTGAGCTCTGATTGGTTCACTTTTTTTACTTCGCACAAAATAGAAACTGTTTAAACTACCGATTTTGTTGAAGCAAAAACTTTCGAATCGCGCGAATAAATTTGTAAGTGGAAAACAGGCTTAATAAGCCTTGTGTCAAGAAATAAAGAAGTGGGTTGATTAAAATTGCTATGGCAACCCACCCTAACCGCCCTTGGTTTATTATTTGCAATATTCCATTCCTTGATGCACCAGTTGAGACTCAGTGGGTTTGTGATCAAAGTAACATATCAAATATCTCAGTGGCTAAATTAAGTTAATTCCGATACCTGTTGGAAGATCTATAGAATATGGCAGATTAAACCAAGGATGTACAAACTCAATTGTGAGATATTTTTTTATTATTATTAAAAAAAGCCTATTTTATGTACTATATATGGTTTGTTTTTTAATTACTTACTATTGTATAACTATATCATTCACACTTTTTTTTAGACAATAATGAGTTTTTTTTAAAGATATTGTTGTATATTTCAACACTATATACTTTAACCAACTAGATGCCTACTTGCCTCTATTCAAGCTGTTAAAACAATGTTTTAGTTTTGTTTAAATTTTATTTTGTAATTAATATTTAAAGTATAGTACTTGGTTTTACATAGTTAATTATTAGTTTAAAAAAGAATAGATAATAATAGTGTATAAATATATATTCTTTATTTGATAATACCTGTGTACAGTATCAAAAGTAAACACCCAATAACTAACCTATTTTTGGAACAAAAAAAGTAAGAGTGACATTGAATGACTTTCCTAATTTAGTTAGATTCTAAAATTTGGCTGCTAATTATATATTTTGCAGTCATAATCAGCTGAAAGCAGTGAATTATTTTGATTCACAGTAGATAAATTTTCATTTAAAACATACTTGATCTTTTTAAATACACAATTCAATGGCTTAATTGAATTTTAAGTGTTTTTTAGTATTCTAACCACAGACAGTTAAGAAGCATAAAGAAAATTTTTAATATAAGTAACAAGTCAAAGATTGAAGCAATGATAAAACATGTGGGTTAACAGGAATGGGGTTAAAGCCTTACATTTCTGTTAAACCACAGATTAAAGTTACTTTCTCAAAAGGTGATTGAAATGTTAAAGGTGAAAAATTGTTTGTTTAGTCTTTCAATGAATATTATTAATTTCCACCAGAAACCCATGAATTTCTTTTTACATAACAAAAGTCTTTTTTTGTGAAAAATAATTCTGTTCCCGATAAGGATCTAGTCAACTTTAGCCCTGTAAAATGGGTATTGACCGCAAATGACTGATAACATTACAAAGTACTATACTGTAGTATTAACAATTGATAAACCAAAGTATAGTATGTATTCTGTTGTGAGCAGTATTTGTGGTGCCTTTTTGAAAACAAGTACATTCCATTTATATTATAGACAGGTAAATAGACAGGACAGATAAACAGCCTTCCTGGTACTGTACACACAAAACAATACATTCCAAACAGGTAAACCTAGGTATTGCACAGGTAAGACAAAGTTAAATTCCATTCAGGTTATATCACAATACATATTCCAAACCAGAAACCATACAAAGTTGATACATAAACCAAAAGCTGCACTGATTATGTTCAAATAAAATAAAACAAAAATTACTCCAAATAGAGAAAGTGAGCCCATATTACACAATGTTTCGACTATTTAGTCATCATCAGGATGATGATGATGATGATGATGATGACTAAATAAAGTTAAAACGTTGAGTAATATGGTCTCACTTTCTCTATTTGGAGTCACTTTTGTTTTATTTTAATACATAAAGAATAGTTAAATTCCAGGGGAATTTCAATAAAATTCATATGTAATACATTTAAGATTAATGTTGTAATCAAATAAATTAAATAAATAAGTGACAATAAATATAATGTAAATTGTAGAAATTCCTTTAAGAAAAGTTACAAAGTCGGTGCACAACTATAAATACAAGTTTAGTATTATAAAAAATTATAATGTGTTATTAATTTATCAAAACTATATATATTTTGTGTAGCTCCTATGAAAGATGATTTGAAATGGTGATCTCTCAATTTCCAAGGCCCAGCTTATCCAAGGCTCTCCTAATTTGATTTGAGTGAAAATCATATTTAAATCTGAGAGTGCCACTTCCATACCATAGCCATAAAGTGTGTACCTCAGTCATAACCATGGTGGGCTTATGTGGTCTTGATTTTTCCATTTGTAAAAGTTCCACCCTGGGCACCCATTCACCCCACCCCACCCCATTTTCGAAAATCTGGATGCACTGCTGCAGGGTGGGATCCAGGCAACTTAATCCCTAGGCATTAATTATGCTGGGAAATTTGTTACTATTGTCCAAAGAATTTGTTTTTATTTTTGGTATGTCTTCCCTCCCTCCACTGGCATCCCCATTGATTAAATAATAAAGGCATGATATTATCATGAAGGTGCCTTTGATGTCCTTAGTACAATGGTGTTTCTGTATGTTGTGTGGAAGTCATATGATTATGTACAGTACTTCATGTGATGACAGAGATGACTATCAAAAAGGATGTAAATTCAAATTTAATTGCTTTCCAGGGGGGAATAAACTACAAAGTGGATAACAACATGTTAGATATTAATTTCATTACTAACTAGGATTACTAAGTTAGATTTTAAAGTAAACAATATGAATTTTTATTTTATATATGTGTGGCAATGTAACATTTAACTTATATATAATCATTTATAACTCTTGTATTGTTAATACGATAAATCAATGTCAATGGAGTATACATGTTCTCAGACAACAATATTTAATTGTTTTATTTTTATTAAACAAAAGTGTGCAGTACTAAAAGTGTACTATTATCATCAATAATGAAATGTGGTTAAATGTAATTTTCATGTGAATGAAGATGGATTTACACCATACATAGATAAGTTTTTGGTTTTGAATTGGGTCTTTTTCCCACTGGGCCCAAGTATACATTTTTTAGGCCTGTCACTTTCTGTACCCCTCATAAGTTAAGTTTAGTATTTAAGTTGCTAGTGAATAAACAAATAAATAAATACTGGCTCGAAAGTGTATATAAAATTAAAAGTTAGCTGAACCTCCACCACTTACTATGGAATCTAAATGCCAAAGTGATATTATTGGTGATGCAAGTAATGTGGTACTGCTTACCGAGTTTTTGTTTTGGTTTTGTTAAGAGAGACATAGATGGGGCAGATATGTCATCAATAATTCTACTAGAAGCATGCTGTGTTGTCACTGAGAAAATGTACACAAAACAAAGAGTTAAAATACATACTTTTAAAAACATACTCACAAAATTCTTTCTTTTTTCCCAAATATTGTTTAAAAACAAACTGATACATACCTCCATCACCAGAATTGCAGAGGTCAGCCAATGCTGGTGGACATAAACCTGAAAATATAAACATTACAGCATTTGCAAAAACATTCACAATTTCATATTCTGTTATAATTACCTTCACATCCAAAGCAGATTCATAGGCCTTATATATTATTTTAAGATATTAATTTTCTGGGCCTATAAGAACAGGTATTACTTTATTGTATCAAATCAATATTTCGACCTATTTGTTTATAATAACAGTTTTCCTTTTACAGTATTTTACTATTATTAACTTACAATTTGTAATATAATCCATGGCTAATAATGTACTCTATAATACAACGTTACAGTTACTCGTCGTGCGGGGCTTAAACGGAAAACAAATTTTCTGTGTTTATTCAGAACAAATAAAGTTGTCTTATGTAAACCAAACAGGAACGCTTACAATTTAAGGTAGTAAAATGCAGACGACAAAGCGTTATACATCTCAATCAAAAGAAATTTATCTAGAAAGTCGTTATTATCCATTTTTTATATTTTATACAAACCTGTGTTAATCTCCCATGGTCGACGATCATCTTCTTTTACTGGAGCACATGTTGTCCGTATATTCAAGAAACAAGAGTAAACAATTACAAGAAAGTAAACCGAAGTCAGTCTTTTCAAAATAATATCCATTATAATTATAAGAAAACAAAAGTTCGCACCAAAATTGTCTGACCACTCAACAAGTTTGACAGTTTGACTCCAGGACGTTTTCTGTAATTATTGGTATCGCTGAATTCCTGCCGCGATGGCGGTGAGTGGTGTTTTTGCCGAGATGCAGTCAATAAAAACTTCTACAGTTGTCCAAACTTTGAATCGGATCAATGAAACTATGCAAAGCAAGGTTCACTGTCTACGATAAAAACTGAAGGTAATTGTTAGTTTCTCGGGTGAAATCTTTTGTGCTTGCTTACCGAGCTCCGCTTCAATCACGCAATAAATCTACGCCACACTGTTATTATTCCATTGTTGATATTTCATGACGTCACACAATTTTGTACTGCGGTTCAAATACAGCAGTACTACAGAAGCCTAGAGGGGCCTTTAAGGGAATTGAGAGCGTGTGTACAAACATGGTACAAACAAGGGACACAATTACCCTATTCAGTTTACTACAATAAATAAAGTGCCCCGAGGAAAAGGAGATGATATATCACTCACTACCGGTGTGTAGGCCTCTTAAGTTGCCAAAATGTTTTGTCAGTATGACACGACAGCAAAACATTTTGGCTATAATTTTAAATGAGTACTGTACGTCCTAATATCATGAACGTTGGCATATTATTTTGTTCGTGAATGTTGATACTAATATACTTATACTGGTTGCCTACATCAGGGTCTACATCCTGTAATTATAACACGTTCGGTATAATTTAACTGTACTGTATATTATAATGCAACAAACGACAGTCTAATAACCCTAGATACTAGGTTATAGATTGTGCACCAAAAAATATTAAAGAGTTATTGTGTTTAGATTTTGCATGAGGTCTCATTTTTTCTATAATGTACCATATGCTAATAGAATCATAGCGAATAATCTACAATCTGCAAAAAGAACGTCAGAAGAAATTTTAATTGGGACATAACTGGAAAATTTGAACAAATTTTTGTAAAATTAGATCTACATTTCAAAGAATATTTTCATGACTGTGGGCTCTCTGTGCGTGTATACAGAAAACAAGACCCGGATTCACTTGCACCGCGTGCCAACTCATTATTTTCCTTTTGGACCACCATTCATTCTGTCTAAAAATTGCTTGGCTGATTATCCAAAATTCAAGATAATTTTACTTTACATGCAGATAAAACTGAACAAAATTTACAATATTGATATATCTAAATACTGTATACATAAAATACAGACAACAATGTCAAGTTTAATGTGAACTGCCCAAGTCATGAGGATGTCATATCACATCCATATATGGGCACGATGATGTCATATCTTACCAATTGTGAGCAAATCACTTGATAGCTGTGGATAGAGCGTTACATGTCTATGAATTTTAATGTTATGAATTTAAGCTGCCAACTGCGTTCCTTGTCCCGTTTTTAACGGTTTGTCATAAAATATGAAAAAAACTTCCAAATAATATCTAATTAAAACATTGAATAACTCATTTAAAAAAAGGTAATTTATCATTAAATGATATTTTAAAGCAATTCATTCGACATTTTACAGTTACAGTCAATTTAAGGGTATCAGATTTAAAGGATATAAGAACTTTATGCGTTCGTTAAGACTCAGACATTTTTCTAGCACAAACCGAATCTTGTCTCAAAAAATCTACATATCAAAAGCTATTAGTTGATGCAAAATTTTTTTAAAATCGGAGAAATCCGATACCAATGACGAAGATACGATACATTATATTTTCGGTCAAACGGGATCATTACATGGGAATTATTGGTGATTTCAAAACTTTGAAAACAAATATTGTACATTATTTTTCAAAATCTAGACAAATCTTTAAATGTGTTAAATATTATTATCAAACCATCAAAAGATGTTATTTTTTAAAATTTAATATGCATTTTTGTCTGATGAGGCATTGCAATGACAGCATGTTGTAGGATATCGTGGTGGGCGATATGCGGAAGCTTTGAGCTCTCCTCTTACCTTTGACCTAATTAATATCTAGCTCAGCTCTTTGGCAAAAATAATTGACGTGGAAGGAATGAGTAAGCGTGTGACCAACGCATAATACATTGGTATGAGGTATTTTTATACCTCCTTGGTATGATAGTGTGATGATGAATTATTATTATTGTTGTAGTGGTGTTGTTCGTATCAGTGTTGTTATTAGGTCTTAAAAGCCGGGAATACTACTGTACGTCGTACGACGATCTTAAATCGTCGGCCGATGAATCCATCTCCGCTCTTAGTGATCGCTAGGCCGTTTGCTGAGTAGCGCACGCGTCGTGACTTTGCGTTATCCATCTATTATCGCGTCGGGGGACGACCGCCGGGCGCCGCGCGTACGTCGTGGCTTTAAATCATCAATTATCGTCATCTTTGTTGCTGTTACCAGATGCTCAGTCTTATGATTATTAATTTATATACAGTCTTATGATTATTATATTTTACAGCTTTTCATATTTATTTAGTGTAGTGATAACGCCGATGATTTGTTTACTTTTTGAATCCCCATACCTGTGTATTGATGGTACGTTGGTGTTTATACGTTACTAATATTGTACCTTCGGACTCGTTGGAAGCTCCCCATATTACATGCGTCACGTCTTTATATCTGATTATATTCATCATGGTGTGTACTTAAGCCATATCCAACAGATGCCTGTCAATGATAGGTTTGCAATACCTTGTCGTGTATCCGTGATTACAGATGGAATCGCGGGCATTATTATACATTAGATTTGTAGTTTTTGTATAAATTCGTTTCCAGACAAGGCGTCAATAACCAATGGAATTACCTCAAAAGCGGATACCATGCAGAAGCCGTTTGATGTACAGTACCGGTACATAAAACAAAAGAAACATGTTTTCTAACGTGATTTGTGAGAAAAAAAATATTCAGTCATTCCAGATTATTGTGAGTAAAGTCCACTAACAAGGGAACAGCGACGTTATTGTTAGTTGCATAATAAAAACATAGTAAGCCATTTTTAGACTTGTTTCAAATCGTGAATAGATTTTGTATTGGAAATGAAGTTGTCGAACCCGACCCTATTTAAGTTGACATGGATTTTCTATGAGAAATTGTGGTTTAAAATGATGTGACAATAATAGTATTTCTAAGCCTGCGTCTATTTTTCAAATTTAATTTCTATTGGAGACCAATTTGTAAACCAGGATGGAGTGCTTGGTAAATAAAACTATATGTTATAAACTTCGCTTGTTTAAGACCATTGGAACTTACAAAATAGTTACGATCTAAGTTACCGGTACCAATACTAAAGACATGTTCAAAATTTAAGTAAACCCTATCGAATGATAGCTATTTTTAACCTCAGCACTTAAATTCTATACCTATACAGTTCAACAACTTTGCAACAAGAAGTAAACGTGAACCTTCGGAGAAATTCTTTTTCTCCCTTTTTTATGCTAAGATGGAGATACTGAAAACTACGTTACGTATTTTGCTTCCCCTTTTCTTGTATTGCTTACATTTTGGAAAATCTGAGTATTCTAAGAATTACACTAAAATTGGAGATATAATGCTGGGAGGCTTGTTTCCCTTACATCTGTACAACGAGACTACAGGAAACTGTGGAAACATTCGTGAGCTAGCTTCTATAAAGCGGCTAGAAGCTATGGTGTACACGATTAAGAAAATTAATGAAAACAGTAATATTTTGCCAAATATATCTCTAGGTTTTGAAATCTACGACACGTGTTCCTATTCGTCTGAGACATTAAAACGCTCGTTGAATTTCATCCCTAAGCAGCGTATGAACGAATGCGATTGTCAGTGTTCATGTTTGAATGATACGGAGGGTGGATGTAGCGAGAAAGTGGAGGCAACTGCCATTACTGGAGTTGTTGGAGCCCAGAGAAGTAGCTCCTCGCTACAGGCCGCCGTCCTTTTCGGACTGTATGGTATCCCTCAGATAAGTTACTTATCAACAAGTGATGAACTCAGTGACAAACTTAAATACAAGTATTTCTTAAGGACCGTTCCACCGGATACATATCAGATACAATCAATAGTGGATATATTGATTTTCTATCATTGGACGTATGTTTCCTTTGTAAATTCCGATGACTCCTATGGTGAACATGCTCTAGAGGAATTTAAGTCCCGGGCAAGATATCTTGGAATATGCTTAGCAACAGCCACAACAATTTCAATACATGCAAATAAAGACTTTTACGATAAAGTATTGGCAGATTTAGACAGCGCAAAAGCGCCGGTTGTCATCCTTTACGCCCAAATGGAAGTAGCAAACGGAGTGTTCGAATCTGTTAGCAGGCTTGGTAAAATAGGAAGATTCATTTGGATTGGTAGTGATGGATGGGGAAACTACGGGACCACGGCATTCAAAGGTCATGAAGAAGCTGCGTTGGGTGAGTTATTATTCAGGAAGACCAACTTTGATAGTAATTCGGTTTACTTTTTTGGAATCCCTTCTCAGCCGTTTTCAATTATATTTTTCGTTTGTTGTGTCTGTTTTATGAGAGAAAATAAATGAATTAAAATATCATTACCAGAGAGTCTCGAGTAAAGTAGGATGGTGACACCTTTGTTGACTAACAAAATGAAATTGTACATTCAGTGATCGACCATTAGTTATCACTGCAGAAAGTGTGATATAATAGAGTAATGAAATACTAGAGCGCTATAGACTACTCACGCACGGTTGCATAGGCCGAACATTCATTCAGAAATTGTAATGTTGGTCATAGACCTATTAAAAAAACACCAAAAGATTTTAACGATGAAAAATCTACTTAACAAACTCAAAAGTGCAGAGAGGAAACTATCACAATTCCAAAAAAAAACACAACGGAGTAACTTCATCAATAGTTTACTTTAATTAACTACAGCATAAGCCAATATAGTTACAAAAGAAACAAAGAGTTTGTCTTATTTATTAAACTTTACAAAAGAATTCAAAGCCAAAATAAATTTGCATCAACAAAGGAAAAAAACTACGTGTTTTTTGTTTGTTTTTTTTTGTCTTTAAGGTTCCATCACAATCCGGCCGTACTCTAACTTCATACCAGATTTTGACGAATACTTTTACTCTATGACTCCAGCGAATTCCAAGAACCCATGGCTTCTTGAATTCTGGGAAACATACGGAAACTGCTCGAGTGACGAGCCATACATCATTAATCCGCCATGTGATGAAATTAATCTTGAACCATTAGCAAATGATACAGATATTCCTGCGCACGACAGTTTAGTAATGGATGCTGTTTTATCTTTTGCGTATGCATTAGATAACATGAAACGGCAACAGTGCCAATTTGGTAGTGGGTGGTGTCCAGATTTTATTCCGAATGACGGAAAAACTCTTATGGAGTTCCTTCTGCAAACAGAATTTAATAGTCCGTCAAACGGTCCGGTAGAATTCGACGAAAACGGTAATACTCGGCCGAAGTACAAGATTAATAATTTACAAAAAATAAATGATATCTATAAATTTGTTGATATCGGATCATGGCGTGAGGAAAGCAAATTTATGAGGAATACCGATACTGAGGTAAAATGGTACATCAATACTACGGACGATTCCTTAACACCGAAGTCAGTATGCAGTGAGCCCTGTGACGTTGGCTATGCCACTATAAAATCAGAGGAAACGCCGTGTTGCTGGACTTGCGTCCAATGCCCTTCCTCCTCAATAGTAGTAGATGTGAGTAGTGAGCTTGGAACGCAGTGTAAATCGTGTATTAGTGAAGGTCCAGTGCATTATTTCCCTGATGTTAACAGAAATCAATGTGATGTGGTGGATGGAGCGTTTGTAACTAAGGACCACCCCTGGGCCGTTGTTCTAATTACCTTGTCAGCCGTTGGAATTCTGTCAACTTGCGCCACTTTGGTAGCGTACTTAAAAAACAGAAACACTCCTCTTATAAAGGCTTCCAGTCGGGAACTTAGTTATATAATTTTCTGTGGAATTGCATGGGGATTCGTCTGTGCTATGTTTCATGGCATCCGTCCAAGCCCAGTTGTTTGTCTGTTACGACGAATAGGGCTGCCGATTTCAACTTCACTGATTTATGCTTCGGTAACAACGAAAACTGTTCGTGTATATCGGATATTCAAAGCAAGTTCAAAAACGGCACGACGTCCAAAGTACATTAGTTCCAAATCACAGGTTCTTATTGCACTATCTGTCGCAAGTATCCAGGTAAGTCTTATGCTTTCAAAACATTCGTTGTTCAGAATTTGAAGACGATACTACACCGTCTTGGCTTTATTTTACCAAATTAGTAATAATTAAGCCTAGTTGAATACTTACTTGAATTTTTATTAAAGCGTGTTTGTAAAATGTAAAAATACCAGTGGTATTGAAACAATTTCAAATCAATAAGCAAAATTTGTTAAGATATCTGCATTTAACAGGAAGCCCGGGTTCGAATCCCAATTTGAATCCCGGTTGGGGCGATATTTTCACACTCACAGATTCATCTTATACCCCGCTATTGCCGGTTGGGGCGATTTTATCACTCATTTCCCTGTGTACCATTTACAAATAATATCGTCAACTCCGATTGCTTTGTTACCTCAGGTGTTATGGATGTTGATCTGGTTGATCATTGTCCCACCTACAGTGGATTACATCATGCCTGACGTCAGCAAAGGACGAGTGGTCATGATTTGTTCTGCATGGGACGAGACGGCTGATATAGAAGTGATTGGTTCGTTAGTATTTAACATCGTACTGGTTTTAATATGCTGTGTGTACGCGTTCAGAACACGCAAATTACCGGACAATTACCAGGAGACACGGTTTATTAATCTATGTAGTTTCAGCACGTTGGTAATAATTCTTACATTCACTCCGCCCTACTTCACAACTGAAGAGCCATACTATAAAGCAATTTACAACGGATACGGGTTAATTATCAATGATACGATTACTTTAATATGTTTATTTTTGGTTAAGATTTACGCATTATATTTTGTCAACGATGAAGAAATGAACATTTTCACACAGACTCGTATCAGAGTGAACAGTGGTGTCACCAGGGTTGTCCCGACGGGAGTACCAGGTGAGCGAGTGGAAACTTAGTCAATTGACTAGGGTGAAATGTTTCGCCAAGGTGCAGTGTAATTTAGGTTGGTTAACCTTTATGTATACATAAGGAACTGCCTCCTGGGAACTATACAACTCAGATCTTTGGAATTTGAGCAGATTTAATTGGTTTTAGGTAGGCTCACCATGGTGATTGGTTCATGAAAGCGAATACAGAAACAAATCGATGATGATGATGATTATGATGATGATGACGATAATAATACTCTTATATAAAAAAAAATATATGTAATTTTGATTTCATCTTTTGTACTGTACTATTATATATCAGAAAGGGAATAAGAAATGGGACCAAAAAAAAACCATGTATGTAATGTAATGTAATTACAGAATGAAATAGGCTAGAGTAAACCCATTCCGTACTGTCCGTACAGTAACGAACAGAAGCGTTGCTATGCAGTCCTTAGAAAATACCACTTCTTAGGCGTCATGGCCAAGAATAATAATGAGCCTATCTCTGTGTATTTTAAAGAAGGAAAGGTGAAATTCAAACAGCATTTTGATTGGACACTACTCACTGAGATATTAATCAGTCGTTGTGAATGAACAAGGATCAGAGTGGGTGGTTAATAATAATTATGGACTTTGGACAATGCGCACATTATTAACAAATATGAATGGGTCACTTTCCTCTTTTGTAAGGCTTACTGTGCAATTTATTGATTCTTTTTTTTTTTAACTTGCTTAAAACACAGCAATTGTTTAATAGCAGGGGCGGATTTAGTAGGGGGAAAGTAGAAGGGGGAAAGTGCCGGGAACGTGCCCCCCCCCCCATGACAATTATAAGCGTGGCTGTCGAATAAGCGCTTCCCTCAAGCCTCTATATAATATAAAATAACTGAGCGACAAAAATGTATATCAACCAAAGTCGAGGCAGCTTCAAGCCTTTACAAGTGCAAAGCAAATAATAAATACGTACTGTACAGTATTCTGCTATTTCATTTCAATCTGCTCGACCTTTATCGAACAAAGTATGAACAAACGACAAATACATCTTTCATAAGCAAAACATATAATGGCTGTAACCGTTTATTTTATTGGCAAATAAACAAGACATAAAAACAAACAGAAAAAAAAAAAAACATGCGTCCATTTGAAAATAAATACAAGCTGTGATATACATCAAATTTATAGTACGCATAATATGTGAACACAGTATTTGCGTGATGACTAGTGAGGGCGCTATCCACCTTAACTTTAAGGATAAGCAAATTCGTGTTATTAGATAACAACTCCCTGCAGTCAGTAGATTATATACTTTTATTAACACAAGGTTAAAATAAGCCTATTTGCCTATTTCGCACTGATACATTTACTTGCACTTCATACATGTCACACAATTAATATTAAATATAAATTTATATTCTTTATTTGGTGTGAGGGATGGTATTGGAAGCATTGAAAGTGGAACAAAGAATGCAGAAATCGATACAACCAAAATTTGGTAGCATTGCAACACAATGCTTGGTAAAATTAAACTATAGTGGACAACGGTTGTTCAAAAACATATTATTATTTGTTACCTCTGGATTCATTGTCAATGTTTTTTACTCTATTCCAAAGAAAAATAACATAATATTCATAAGTATATGGGAGAATATAGGAATAACAACAGCAACAAAGTAATAAAGTAAAATATATAATTATAATTTTTATTATTACTATAAATGATATTGATAATAATCAATACAATAAAATAATAAAAATCATAACATTCTGAAAATTTGTATAAATAATAATATATAATTGGAAACTTTTAAGAGCAGAAGATCAAAAAGAATCCCCAGGTTTCCATGGCATACATGTGTGACAAACAATAGTCTTGTGACTAGCAAGTCATGTGACCAACAAGTCATGTGACATGTAACAACACATTTAGTCCAACATGAGCTAAAGAAAATATAGTAGCATATATACAAATTATAAATAGAGAAAATGTAATAACATTTTAAGCAAACCACAAAAAATAATGTGTGGTACATCAAATATTTATATACATACTGAAAGAAAGTAAACTCTTTACCAAAATAATAGTTAATAACTACAATTCGGTAATGTGTATCCAATATTCCAGAAATGATAAATAGTTGGAAGATTTAAAGGGACTACATCAGGTGCAACTATAGTACTACACTCTGTGTATACAGTTGTCATAATGTGGGCAGAGATCTAAATAAGGAGAATAATTTTGGTTTATAGAGTGCATATTATTGCAAATTAATCAACCTTCATTAGTAACTAAAAATGTCTTGGCCACAAGAACTCAACAAGTGGTCAGCATAACACTAAAACTCTCGATCTTACAACTGGAAGCACAGTCATTGTGCATCACATGATCAAGTACCGAAGATCTTATAAATTCAAGATAGCATTCGCCACAATTTACGCATAACAAATTGAAGCGACAATTCCGTCCTAGTTGTTGCCATTGATCTGAGAGGTTCGCGCTACGCAAAAGTTCACCAAATACGCTATTGTTCCTTAATTGTTCTAAATAGAGGGTGCATTGTTAATCGACGCTTCTGATTGTACGTGTTAAGGTAAAGTTATGCGGTGTATGCCATGGTCAAAGCAATCAAAGAGCACCGTACACTGCATTATTACAGAATTTGTACACAGATAATGCGAAGAACGCTATTTTGTTTTTATAAGATCTTAGTCAGGTACTCATAAGTCAACATAGAGGGATGGAGTGATGTCAGAGTCATTTTAAACATTCAGGGTGTCATATAATAATAAATAATAATATACAGTAATATATCCAATAATATAATTACTATAAAAACTTAAGACAGTTCATATATTATGAATAATCCAAGAAAAATCATCCTATATCAAGAGAGATTTTTGCTTCTGAAAAAAGTTTTAAGATTTTAGGTAATTTAATTAAATGAATCTGTGGTTGAATATGTTTGGTGCATACCTCAACCAACCACCTGACTAAATATACAATTTTGCTTTAACAACTACAGAACTAACTATCAACATGCATTGTAAGTCAAACATTTACATTTATGCTACTTCTTGGATTTTAAATCCGTGATTTCTAAGATTGAACTATATACTCTACTGTGCCAGTGACTGTTATATCATGTGGTACAACACTTTCAATATATAAATACTTTGTGGAACATTAGAAAGGGACTCAATACTACTTTACTAAAAAAATAGTAAGTTTTTAAAATACATATTTGGTAATCATTAGTTCACCAAGGTGTTTAGATATATCCTTCATTATGTTCCAATATATACTAGTATAAAGTCTGCTACTGTATCTGGCCCATAACCTCAAATAAAATCCCTTCTACCATTAAAAAAAAAAAACAGAAATAAAAATCCACTACTACTATAAATACAAAATAAAATATATGAAAATTTGTAATAATTGAAATTGCAAGAGATTTTTTTTCTTTGCTTTTCTGATTTAGAAATTAAAAATAAAATTAATTCTTATATAATAATTATTCCAGATTTACATAGCGCCATACAGTATGAGGCTTGCCATCCCAAAACCAACATCAGTTACCTAAGAAAATGAAAATTCACTTTTTAATATATTCTTATTCTCCACATTACAGGCGTTAAAATGATTGGTCATTTTTACTGGAATCAACTTATTATTATTATTATTATTACTATTGCAAAGTTATGAGTAGAAGTATTATGGCTTCTCTATACTAAAGTATACACTACTGCCGCATTATTATGCTAATTACTTACTTTAACAATTAGCAATACCCTGGTCTTGGAATGGCAAACATCATATGATAAAACAACCCTTCAGGTGCTAATAGAATCATGCAAACCTTTTAGCACATTGAATAGTGGAAATATATACGAATTCTACACAGGACGTTATGATAAAATTGGCAATGGTGACCATCAATGGTGACCATCAACAATTAATTTAACACCTAATAGTGACCATTCAAGAGTAGCAAATGTAAGCTCTATAAAAAATACTCAGCACTGGTCTTGATTAGGAAACCACCAACATGCTCTAATGAATAATTCATTTTGCTCCTCTACACATTTATCAGCAGTACTGATGCTCACCCCATTTGTATACTAGCACGCATAGCATGGTGCGAGCACAAACACAAACCTCAAATCGTTCTTTATCTCAAAAGTACTTAGTTACTTTCCATCCAATTATAACCACGCAGAATATATAATGCACCATCTTAACTATTCTGAGGCACAAACTATGAGCTACAGGCTGAGATTTCGGGTTGGAAGGAAAACCCTGAAGTTGGTAGGATTTGAACTAGGACACAAATTGGAGAGAAACCATCATAATCCCCAAAAACAGACCCATGCCCCACATTATAGTATTAATAAGAATTCTTAAACATGTTGACTGCCAGGCCATTCTCCCTAGTCCCATCCCATACGCACATTTTCTTAACGTAGGATATTTTGGTAAAATCTAAGAACGTACTTTGCACATATGCTGTTTTCAAGTCTATGTCAGCCACAGTGATCACCTGTCCTGTGCATCACGAGCAAGCGAGTAACCTAGAGTTTGATTTTGATAGAACGACACACTACGTACCATTCGCTTTTATGAGATTTCGGGATTCAGCCTTTTTTGTAGATTTTGTATTTGAATCAATGCAAGAATAAAATAAGTAGATTCTGAAGTATAATACATTTACATGTATTGGACATGTAGGGCTACAAACAAACTACCTTTGTTATCTATACATACATTTCAGTTCCCAATATAAAGTAAAAAATTACCCAATACTGTTTGATAGTTTTATCTAACTATAACAACAAACTATACCATCTAAAGTGCCTCTGAGCATCCAAACTCATAGCCATTGACGGCACCAGCGTGGTGGCGGGAGGATTAGCCAAACTGTCATTAACAGTTCTGTTAGTTAATCTTAAAAATTCATTGAATTCATAAATTTAGTATGTTATTAATAACCAAATACACCATGATAACAATGTTCTGTAGACGATGTGAGGAAAAGACTAGCACTAAGTAAATGAGCTCAATGGGCTGTGAAGAGGGCGCTATCATCAACTGAATCAGGTGTCATTGATGACTGCTGGACAGCTTCAGTGGCTACATGTCCGATGACTAACTGCTTTGAATCATCAGCATCTAATGTTTTTTCGTCTGAAGTCTTTTCTGCTATCTTTGGTGAAGTTTCTGAATTGGATAAGCTTTGTGGTTCTCCGTCTTGTAGTTGGTAGCGTGATTCATGGCTGATAACAGCTTTATTTTCAAGAAGTGGTGGTGTTTGTGTACCATTTCCGTTGTATTGACATGGCTCCACATATTCACTAGTGCTTCCATCAAATGCATGAGATCTATAAAAAAAAATCAACTGTTACTGAAGAATTTTGTAGTTATCTATACAATAAAAGCATTTATATTGCATGTTACAGATGATGATGATACATGCATAATTTTTTTTGCAATTCGTAAACAGTAGGCCAGTATTATTAAAGTATTGATATTTAATCTAATAATGTATATGTATACAATTTTCTTTGTAAAAAATTCACAGAAAAATACCATTTGCATTGTCCATAATCATCACTCAAAAACAGTAAGATGAATGGTGTGGCTGTGGTGTGAATCAACTTGTTTTTTAGGGGTTTACAAAGCTGTGATTTGATACAACAGTTTCTGCACTAACCACATGCTAAACCTTTTTTTTTCAAACTTCAAAACATGTTTGAAAATTTCCAAATTATTATGCAGGAGTTTCAGAGAAGATTAAACATGAACATGCATATAACATGCAGGTACCAATAAAAGCTTACTGCATGCATCCCCTTTAGGCATAGGCCTACTCTCTGTCGTATTGTAACACTGACAGTACAACATTTTAATAAAATAACACAACAAACCTCTCACTTCATCAAATAGCGTACTATGCCAATAACAGTACATAAGACAAACATACATGTATATAAGATGCTCAACATAATTACGTCTCATTGTGAGGCTTAAGAAGTGGAGATATTTTTGGTCATGAGAACAAATCCTCTAGTTTTAACAATACTTTAAACCAGGACCAAGGCAAATGTTGACAAGCATCTTTACTGCCAAGGTACAGCCTCATTTATAGTATTTAATTCACATCCAAGTAAGTAACTCACTACTAACAAAGCTGAATATACCTTTTGATACTTTATAAGCTTTTATATGCGGTTGATTGCTACTCTATTATGTTCTTGTGTAAAGCACTAGAGTACATCTGCTACTGCAGTGGGTCCGCAGCCTAAATTTCCAAGTTACTTAACTAGTAGTACCAACTACTGCACGTTATGACCATTGTCATAAAATATAAAGTGAAATTTTTAGCATTCTTTACCTGTTCGGACATATCGCTTTACCATGGCTATGTGAACCAGTGTGGTAATACATAAATAATAAATCAACTTTAAAAATAGAATTGATAACATATAATCTCTCGAAATCAATTGGACATGTTTAGTGTGGGATCCAGGAATTCGAAATACAAGGGGTCAGGGAGGAACTTCCTTAGATGAAGGTCTGACCACAGCTCTTCCATGGAAAAGGCCTCATTTAGTGAGCTGCTGTGAAAGCATTGTTATGCTGGAGGGGTTTGAGGGGGAAGGGGTTTGGGGGACACAGAAACACATTTAATGTTGAAGAAAGTCATGAAGAAGCACTGTGATAACAATTTGATACCAAGACAGAACATAGATGAAACCTTCATGCCAGTGTATCGCGAATCATCACAAAATCAAAGCAAAAAAATGGTAATTTAGGTCGGCTTATACAAAAAATGTTACAAAACAAAAGAAAAATAATTACTATGGTATAAATCTTACTTGAAGATGATATACAGTTAAAATTGTTTCAAATACTGAATTTATGAAATGACTTATTTCTGTCATTATTACAAATTAAGAATGATCCCAAACGGTAAGCAGCGTCTTTCCTCTGTGATGTCCAAAAACAAAGACAAAAAAAAACAATGAAAAATGAAACATGGATGACTCAAAGATAAAGCAGAAACATGATGCGATGACATCACTCACCACTTAACTGATAATTTCACACTTGAAATGTTTTAGAGAGGATAAGAATCATGTAAAATATGAAATTGATATGTAATTCTATGTTATACTGTGGTGGATTGCTATTGATACAATCTTAGCCTAAGACTAAATAAATGCACAATTTAAATAAATGATAAGTATTTTAAAAAAAATAATAAAATATAGACACTAGTATTAATCTTACTAATAGTAATAATATACCGTAATTATAGTAATTTTATTACTACTACTAATAATAAGACTAGTATTAATAATTATAACATCACTAACAGTAATAATCAAATATAATAATAATAATATTAACAATATTATAGTAATAGTAATATTTAATGATAATATTTATAATAAAATCAATGATGATAAATGTAAATAACAATATGGTAGTTATATTCTAATGTTGTATATTCTTCACCTAATCCATGATTGATGTTGGAACTTTATGATACTAGCAATCCACTGTGAATCTTGTTTTCTTAGCTACCTCGTACCCTTGCCAACTCGCACCCACAACCTGCACCTAAATTTTGGTTGGCTTGTGCCCATAGTTGGCTAGCCTGTGCCCAAGTTTGGTGTAAGATTTACCTTTGTATTTCTATGTATACTATGCAAAGAGCATTATCTCTTTTGAATGTAAGTAATCATGTTAAACTATAATTATTTTATTATTAAAGACAAACTTGCTAATTAGATACAGCAGGAACCTATAATGTCAGAGTCGTAAATACTGTTGGCACTTAAATTTAGTGCAGTTCGTATACAATTAATAAATATTTCAAAAATTATATTTCGTTTTGGTAGACAGCTGTAGTACAGTATAGAGTAAAGAAGTATAATATTAGATTTCATTGTATTTTCAAGCCAAAGTAGGTATGAACAGACATGGGTACGAGTTAGCCAATGTTGCGCACGAGTTGACATAAATTTGGGTAGTCGGTACGACTTGGCATGGGTACAAGTTGACGTGGGACGAGTTAGCCAACACCCAATAAAACAAGTCCTTGAAAACAGATGATCACAACTAAAACCAAGTGAATAGAATTTAGATGATTTTTCTTCTTGTAGATTGACAACATAAAGATTCTAAATTTAGTATTAAGCTTTATCAACACTATCAAACTTTATGTGACAAAAAATGTGATCTGCCCATATATGGGCAGGATGACATCATATCACATATTATCAAATTGTATCAAAAAAGTTGAACGCGTTCAACTCTATGTTCCATCAAATTTTATGTGATGCTTTTTTCGATGAAATTTGATAGTGTAGACAAAGCTTTACAAATGTATCTACTAAAGTTGATATGCTTAAAGATGTTAGTAGCATAATATAATTTGTTTGTTGGCAGGCACTCAGAACATTACCAAGTAGTAATAATCAGAGTATGATAAATAAAATAACAAGCCAATCATTCAATGATATATTTTATGATAACACATTAATTAATAATAATATAATATATGATGACAGTACTGCAAAGATGTATAATATAATACAAAAATATCACAAACACATTGATATATATTTTATATACTGGTATGATTATATAATGAACCATCAAATGTTAATGCATGTTTTAATTGACTTAATAATAGTGAATGATATAAATATAGTCATAATTCATTAATATTAATTCATATTGCATAGATGTGGTTTAATTATATGTCTCTCATCATATAAATATAAATAGATGCAATAGACTGCTACTGTAGGTACTTTGACTTGATGAGACATGAATTCTTTCAGGTATTGGTCGATCCTGTCATCAATATGTAAGTAGTCATGTATCTCACAATATATGCAACTCCCAATATATGCAAGAATCTTAAGATATATGCAAAATATCTCAAATTATATGCAAAGTATCTCACAATATATGCAAGTATCACACAATCAAGTATCTCACAATATATGCAAGTATCTCACAATATTCAAGTATCTCACAATAAGAATCTCACAATAGTAGACAGTTCTACAGCATCGCATGATACTTAATATTCATGAGTATACAATGAAATGCAAGTACAATATCGCATGGTAATCAGATATTCTGTGACACCCACATGCTATAAAGATAGCAGGAGCTACTGTACTATCAAATTGAAAACTAATTTGTCTCCATGTCAAAGTACTGTATCAAGTAGTCTGTTATTACAATATGCGTCCACTGTACCTTTTTATTCAATTTATACATAGTATATATTAATATATATACCTTCTCTATTTATGTTTGTGTAATTAAGGTTTTGATGTCTAAAGCTTGTATTAATCATTATGTTGATAGTGTTTGCAATAACCACGGTATATCAATGCCAACATTCAAGGGGTCTCAAGTCCTGCAAGTAATCAAGAATCTCCCAGAGCACAACTCATCTCTTGCAAATTTATAATACTGTATTTGCACATGTTTACTATTTTATCATCAATTGTGTCATGGAAGTCTGTGCCAATAGCTATCACTGTGCACAGCAAAATATAAAACTAGATGTGCAAAGTTCATTTAACCAGATCGCCCAGAAATGCAAACTGTTTGATTTTTTTATTTGTTTTTAAATATTTTCATAATCTGCAAGCATTGTTAATTCAACCTCAGTAGCTAACATGCACTTTGAGTAATGCCACTGTCATAGCGCCACTGAACATTGAATTCTGCCCTGGATATTGGTGTTATATAAATTCTTGTTGATTGATTGATTGATTGATTGATTGATTGGTTGATTGAAATAACTTCTTTCAACTTTGGGACCCCTGATACTGTATTCCCCTGTTAATGAGAGGGGAAGTTTTTCTTTGGATGTGGACATCAATGTAAAAGTAAAATCAATAAATTAAAAAAAAATTACGTAATTTATAGTGATTACAAATGTAATAAATCATAATGCTGAATCACAACCACATTACTTCCTGTTATGTAAAAAAAATTAAATATAAATTATTAAACATGTTGCCTATTTAAAATATCTTAATTGACTTACCAATCGGTCTGACACAAGTTTGACCCTGGAATGAGCCAATCAAGCAGCAGTGGGTAGGAATGAGTGATGCATAAATTAACAAGACACTAATAAAACCTATTTCTAATAAGATCATAAGTATTTATACAATTAAAACTTTGGAGAAATAAACATAATTTTCCCAGCAATAGCATCCTAATATTTAGATGAACAAACTGAAAATGTCAGTTTTTGTGATGCTCATTTCACTTGTAAAAAGTTCTGTCATATATAGTCATGATGTGATATCATCCTGTTTTAGTCAAATAAAATTTGATAGTCTGGCAGGGTTTAAATTTATACATATAATGTATATGATTACTTATAATGATTTACAATTTAGAATTTTTAAAACTGTTTTACAGGCTTTTCACATTATATTGATTTTAATGATAAATAATAACAAAAAATAATAAGGTAATATTAAATAATAATACTGTGCACATCTTATTAGTAACAAAAAACAATAGCAACATTATAACCCCACCCTCCCACCTGTCTCTTATACACATCTAGATGTGTATAAGAGACAGCCACTTAACTGATAATTTCACATCAACAAACTGTCAAACATGAGTAAAAATTATACCAAATAATTATATTATTTTAAAGCAATTAAGTAACTGTACAAACAAATTGCTTGAATATAGAATGTGCTGCCCTCATGGGAAATAAGTAGGATTTGATTGGAAACTGAATGGTGCTGTAAAAGTTTGCATGCAATCAAAATAATTTAAAAGAAATATTATTTCTTTTAAATTATTTTGATACAATTAACTACCAAGACCCAAAAAAGCAACATTACAATCAGACTTGAGAGATATGCCATGCATATCTCTCACTTATTTTTATTTTCCAATTCAAAAATGTTTAAGTACACCAGGCTTCTCAAATTAATCTCAATTCAGGTTGAAACGCATTCGGCAAAATCAGTACAGTAGTTTGAACTGTTCCTCTATTTTTGTGTAACGAAAAAATGCGTAACCAATCAGAGCTCAGGAAGCCAACCGACACTTTTGATTCACGCGAATACATTAAACCTAGTGTAAAACCAGCTTTAATATCCATAAGATAGAAGGCTAGCAGCAACCTACTCAGAGTTTAGAGAGATATTATTAACTCCTTGTTCTTTAATCCTCCTTTTCCTGACATGCCATTGACAGTTAATTCTAATAATTGCATTAATACTGTAAACCAAAAACAAAATTGTAGAAACTTGTTAAGCAAATAATCATCAAGTAACTCATAAATCACGTTTCTGTGATCTACTTCAATAAAATTCAAAAGCAATAGTTCTAGTATAATATTGGTTAGAGGAATATAATCGTATATTTCAGTCTCTGGTTGCTAAACTCAGGTTTATCAAAACGCAAATTTCATTGCTAGGCTTCCGGTTAAATCTCGGTGATTTAGCTAGCTGAGCAAAGAAAGCCGCAAAAGCTTACAGTACATACTGTAAAGCCTGGTGTAATATTGTGTGCTTGGCATTAATTAAGGCAAGTCTGAATGTAGCTTAAAATACCTATTGTGTGTGGGAGTAATTGGATAGAAACAAGTGTAAGGATTACTAGAGTAATGAAAGAGTGGCAATGTAGCTTTCATTGTGGTGATTTTGCTTCATTGAGGCACAGTATGTAATGAACCATGGCATATCAAAATGTTTACCTACAACGAGCTATCGTTAATAAATTTAGTTCTATTGCAGTATTTTTTCTTCCTTTCATTATTAGAAATGAGAATAGTGTTTATGCATTCATTATTACCCTTTCATCGGTTTTATTTATTGAAAAGGGCTACTGAAATGATTTAGTAGCCCCCTTCATTGTAATGGGAAAATAATATTTATGACTTCATTGTGTAATTTTGCTTTAAAAAAAAGGGGCTAAGTGGTAAAGAAAGATCAAGTTCAATTGTGCCTGGCTCCTTAAGACTAGTCATTTCTTACCTACACGTTCATGTGTTTAATATCCATCAAATTCTTTCAAAAATCAGTGATATCTACCGCTAAAATAAATTGATTCATAACCTTGAATGACTGTTTGTAATTTTATTTCATTTCCTTTTCTTCATTTTTATTAATCTTTTTAGATCTTTTTCTGTTATAGAAGAATAAGTCTAAACTTATTTCTCCATGGTTAACCAAAGTGTATCAACGATACAGTCAAGGTTTTTATAGCTATACAAAATAAACAAAGCAGCTATACGTTGAACTATTCATTTTTTATACAGAATAAGCCTATATAGCCTATATATTTTAAGAGGAAGTCCCACTCTACGTAGTAATCAATGTAAATATTAATAAGCATGTTCAGAAAAATACACAAATAGTAAGAACATTCATCCAAAAATAAACCAATAAATTATAATATTATTAATAAATTGCCAAAAGCATTTGTAAATCTTGGCCACATGTTGGCATTGTTACTCATTCACAGCACAAAGATTAATAGACAGTTGATTGCATTAAAATGTTTGGTTTCTTACCGGATGTTATCCTCACATGGGTCATCATCATCATCATCCGTGTCAGAGTCAGGAGCAACAAATTGCACATCCATTGTTATTTCACCTTGCTAAGAAATGAAATGGTGAAATATCAGTGGCAGTCCAGGAACTCAAAATAGAGGGGGGACCATGGAGGGACCACCTCAGCCCCTATATGGTTGCGGCTGAGGTAAGAAAATTTGATAGTGGCAACTAGATGGCCAGAAATGAATATAATCAGAATATAATTTTCTTTTTATCTCCATTTTTGTTTTTATAAGTTTGAAAAAAATTTAGGGGGGGGGGGGGGTGGCTGCATTGGCATGAAAAAATAGTGACAATTATTAGGTCTTCCAATGCAGCTAAAGTTACTTCAAACTTATAAATGTACATCTTTCAAGTAGACTTACCTGCTGCGAGAGTATATCAACAGCTTGAGCATGCTTGGAGGTTCGAAGGTCAAAACCGTTCACAGATAATATTGCATCCCCGACAAATAAACCCTGGCATCGATCTGCTGGCATGCCCTCGTGAATCTCCGATATCAATATTGGCACTCCATGTTCACGTCCTCCCTAACAAGTCAAAACACATTTGTTAGTGGTGCACATGATACAAGGGATATTACGGTATTATTTTTTTTGTCATGCACACTACATGTACTTCGTAAGTAACATGAAGCTGATGAGAGAGTCTGTGGTACTCCCCTGGAAGGGGCACTCGTCCATTGCAAGTAACTTTTAGAAATTTTGCTGGTACCCATTAATACAGCTGGGTACACTAAAGTAATGTAGATAAAGTGCTTTGCTCAAAGACGCAAGTGAAATTCACAACGAGGAATTGGGATCCCGACCTTGAGTTTGAGAACCAAACTGATTCCACTGCAGCAAACTGCTCTCTACATTCACATGATTCCATAAAGGGCAATTTTGTACAAAGTGTGCAAATTTATATCAATTCAAACAGGATTTTTTCACTTCAAAGGAATACATTTGAAATTTTCACTGATATTTAGAATAAAGCAATCTGAAATAGAGATGAGTGAATATTTTAGGAAATTTATTAACCTCATTTATCATATACCGTAGATAAAAAATTTATATTTTTGTGAAAGCTATAAAAAATGTACTATTTATCATACTCAATGGAGGTGATAGTACATGATATATCTGATTTCATTTGATTTATTACAAAAATGTAAATAAAATTATGGTTATCTAGTAACAGCAATGGGGTTTTTTTTCTTATGATTTTATTAATTTCAGCTAGCACTGCAATTTCTTTAGTATTATCTAAAGTAACACTGAATAATGGTTTAATTTTCTTGATCTATATTATGATTTTATCTATTTTAGCAAGCCCTGCAAGTTCTCAAAATAAAAAAAAAAGTTCTTCAGCATTATTAAAGATCATATGGTTACGGTCATTAAGGATGAATTTAATAACAATCATTATTATCATGATTATAAGGTATACAAGGAATATTTGTCATCATGCCTAGACTAGAACAGAGCGGGTCCTTTATTAAAAGGGACTGCCCTTACGGTCATATCTGCAAAGGTCAAAGGTATCTGTGGACAGAACAACATGATTTTTACAACTGGAGTGTACATTAAAACAATTATGTTAGTGTTACAAATAATTTATGATGAAATGAGTTATTAATAAAGCAATTATCATAGGTTATTGTTTACTTACAGTAATTGACATTCCCAGGCCTTCATTTGGTTCTTTAATGAGCAGAATCTTGCGCACCTCCCCAACACCACGACTCTGAATTGCCTTATCCTATCAAAATAACAAGATACAGAATAAACCACTGCATGTGACAACAACATTGTTTTTATCAACTAAATACACTTATGTTTCTCAAAATTTGTCCCAAGATGCACTAAATTTAGCCACACATGAGCAAAATTTCAGCTGAGCTATGGCTTACATGGAAAGAGTCCCCTTTGAATAAAATGGAACAGTCCAACCGAGGGTGCCACTTCTCCATAGTAGTCCTCATTCCCTATTCAACATTTTGCGAATAAAGAGCTCCCCTATTGTGCTATTATACTATGCCACATGAATTTTTATTTAGAAAATTTTATCTTGTTGGATTATTAGTGTATACTGTACCAGAAAATTGGATCCTTGGATTATGTAAATTCTTGAATTATTATTTTTACAAGAGGCAATTGAAATGACATATCCTTTTATTTGGAAAAGTCAGGTTTCATTAACTCTATCCATGAACCTTATTAATACTAGGTCCACACTCTATCTAATGAAAGAGGATCAAAATATGAATGAAATGTACAATTACACCTATGATACTTTATATCTTACATGCCCAACTGGTTGAGGTAGTTTCTTCTTAATTCCCCCTCTTCCTCTGCATGCTCGGATTACTGTTTTATGACGATGAAGATGGATTTCTGCTTCTAATTGGTTCCATAACTTATCATGCTCTGGACCACGTAAGTCTCGTCCTAACAGTTGAATTTGTTGGATTCTGCAAAAAAAAAAATGACAACCAATCTATCAATCAGAAAAACTCTAACAGGGCCAAAATCTATCAAGTGTGGTACAGTATAATTAGTACTAGATGACTCATCAATTCTTCCACTTATCCACTGCACTCCTTTTATTGAAATTTAAAATAAATATCTACAATTTACTATTTTTACTTTAGAGATAAACAGCAATAATTCCGTGGCAATCCTGGCTACGGCCCTCTCTCCTTCATCATTATCACTGATAAATCATCAATATCATCATAATATCATCAAAATCATTTTCAAGATTGTTGTATTCTTGACTTGAAAATACACAAAATAATCACAATACAGTAATATATCTAAATAGAACTTTATTAGCTTAACCAACATTTAGCTCATTCAGGTCGACTTGACTAACTATTGTTATATAAGCACCGCTTATATCCAGTATGTCAGGTGTTCCTAATAATATTTAAATCTGTCCATTGATATCATCAGTATCACCTTCATATCATTAAAATCATCTTTATTTCATTATCTTCATGCATCAATATTATTGTCATATCATCAAAATCATTTTCATCAATATCATCAATGTCATCTTCATATTGAATACCATCAAAATGTTCATCATCAATATCATCAATTTTACAATAAATCATCATGATCATCTTCATACTCATGATCCTAAACAGCATATCAAGTCAGAGAAACTATTTGTGTCATTTTAAAATATAGAACATCAGTTAATAGCATTAAACAAACATATCTGTAAAGTATTGTTATCACAGTTAAGAATATTTTAACTATAACTAAGCAAGATGGAAATTTTATAGTACAGTATTATTATGCATAAATTTCATTGTGTAATGTATCAAGGAAATCTATTTTGCCTAATAAAGTTAAAATTAGGAATCAAACATTCAAACGTATGCTTACTATTCATATTAGAACTTGATGATCGAGAAATTGCCAATTTGCAAGCAAATTCATGTGAATCTTCAATACGGAAATCGAATGTATCAGAGCACTGCACTAATAATTATAATAGTAATACTTAACTCTCTATCATTGCATGGCAGTATTATAGAGATTATCTCTATGACTGCATCAATGATTATGGTTTTTTTTTATTTATTTTTAGGGCACGCCCATGCCAGCTGGTTTTTTTTTTCTTCATCTGGCTTTTGAGCATAGCCCCCTTCTGTTGAATTTAATCCGCTTTACAACACTATTTCCAGTGGCAAATCCTGAAATTTGAAATGGGGGGGGGGGAGACTCCAGTGAGGGTCCACCACAGATTGAGGGTCTGTCATCATGGCACCTGTAGAGGGCCAAAAATGGCATTCTCTGAGTTAAAATTTGATTATAATTTATCTTTTTTCTTCATATTTTTTTCAAATTCATTATTTAGGTACATGCATTGTAATTATATATTTTTTGGATTGTGTTATTCTGGAAGAAATAAATGTTTTTTGATTGATTGATTGATTGATGTTGGCCACTTACCTTCCTGCTAATTCCTTGTCTAGATATTTTGCAGCTAGTCTTGATCCATACACTTCTCCTTGTAGAGCTAGCACATGATGCTTCAAGCTCTCATTTTCCTTAATGAGTTCGTTGACCTCTGCCTCCAGGCGAGCTTCTTTTATAGCATCTGTCATATGGCTTACCATTTCTTTTTCCTACAATCATGGCATGGAGCAAAAAACCAATCCATTTTAATGTTCGGTGTGTATGCTTTTTACTCTGCTAATGTTTCTTACACTTCAACTGCGTATAGATGATTGCTGCTGAATTATAGATTACTTGTGACTTTTGTACAAAATTATTTTATGCTACCACATACTGTAAAGCCTGTTCTTTATTGTATGCTATACTTTGGTACATAAAATGAAATTGTAGAGCGATTTTGGTTTTGGGTTTTTTTCTATAATCAGTAATAAAATAATAGTAATAATAATTACCAATCATTAATATTAACAAATATTTGAAAATTTAATAATTAGAAATAACAATCAAGTAACATATAAATCATAGTTTCAACTTTTAACTATTGTACTAACTAGACAATCGCTAAATAAACATCAGTAGCAGTACTGTACATTTTATTTTCTAAACTGCGGCAGGGGCGGATCCAGAGATGTTCGAAAGGGGGGGGCCAAAAGTGGGACTGATTGAGATAACACCACCCTACAGTAGGGGGGTCCGGGGAATGCCCCGTGAAATTGTTGTTACTAGACGCCCGAAAATAATCTCTGAAGCATTTTGGGCGATCAATTTTTTATTTTTCTTTCTTTTTTTTTTCTTCTGCGTATAGATGATTGCTGCTGAATTATAGATTACTTGTGACTTTTGTACAAAATTATTTTATGCTACCACATACTGTAAAGCCTGTTCTTTATTGTATGCTATACTTTGGTACATAAAATGAAATTGTAGAGCGATTTTGGTTTTGGGTTTTTTTCTATAATCAGTAATAAAATAATAGTAATAATAATTACCAATCATTAATATTAACAAATATTTGAAAATTTAATAATTAGAAATAACAATCAAGTAACATATAAATCATAGTTTCAACTTTTAACTATTGTACTAACTAGACAATCGCTAAATAAACATCAGTAGCAGTACTGTACATTTTATTTTCTAAACTGCGGCAGGGGCGGATCCAGAGATGTTCGAAAGGGGGGGGCCAAAAGTGGGACTGATTGAGATAACACCACCCTACAGTAGGGGGGTCCGGGGAATGCCCCGTGAAATTGTTGTTACTAGACGCCCGAAAATAATCTCTGAAGCATTTTGGGCGATCAATTTTTTATTTTTCTTTCTTTTTTTTTTCTTTTTTTAACTTTCCAAAGGGAGAGGGGGGCTGGGGCTTGCCTGCGCCCCACCCCTTTAAATCCGCCCCTGTCCAGTTTAACTTTTGAACATGCTCAATCAGCTACGTATTTTCCAATAATAGGGAGTTTTAATTGCACGACGGTAGGATGTAAAACGTAATGAAGTCTAATAAAAGTCATCTGCATATGTGATGCAATTTGGTCAAATCTACGTATGCAGAGAACATAGGACACCCGGTAGGACATAATTCCATTCTAGCGTCGCATCGTCGCGCAAATCGAAAGCTCCCTAATGATTGAAAGACATTGCAAGTTAATAATGTAGCTATAAACAAATGGGAGACAGTACAGTAATTAAGTTTTAAAACACAAAGAGAGTTAATTGCATGAATATATTTTAAAAACTTTAGTGAAAAATTCAACCTAATAATACATGAAATGCACAAGTAAGTGACATTCTATAGACAATTCTCATGTTTTGTATTCTTATATTTGACAAAAGTAGTAATCAGAAATTAAAATATTGAGTTTTAATGTGAAGTACAGTAAATACAAATGAAATGAGTACAGTTTTGTAGCGCCACCTTCTTCATTTGTATTTTATGCAACAGACTAATACGGCTCCTACTTTTATTAAATGTTCTTACTAATTTTTCTTTGATAGAATCCGAATCAACATTCTGCCCCGTGCTGACATGCAGCTGGAGTTGTATAGCATGTAGTTGTAAAAGCTGGTTGTGAAGTTCTTTTTCGAGAACTGCCTTTGTTGCCTGGACTTCACACAGATCAGCTCTTAAATTCATAATTTGTGCCTACAAAATACAGAAAAATGTTAAACAATCAACTCTGCCTCAAAAAGTACAGAATTGTGATTCAAACTTATTTAATCACCACATGTTATTGGACCTATTATTATTTATGAGATCTTTTCAAATTAAAGCTACTATTTAAAAAAAGTGAATAAGATGACACAAAAAATATATTAAAATAACGATATTAACAAATTTTTTCTATTGGATACAATTTAATAATTCAAAATTAAAGTACTAATTTTTCCCTTGTGGAACAATAAAGTTTATCTTATCTTATCTTACCTAGTTTATGGACCGATTATATCCATATTTGGACATTCAATAATGGTGGCGCAAGGGTTTGACCAACATGATTACGATTCCCCCGATGCCAATTAAAATAAAAAACTTATTACAGTATGTATGGTCCACGGAAACTATTGACAGTTTAGGGACTCGAAAGATGCTTTAAAAATTACATAAAATTTCTTTTCCCAAAAGCGCCTAGCTAGGCCTAGATTAGTTAGCACTAAGCCTAGGCCTAGTAGTAGTCTAGTAGCCTGGGCTGCCTCAGGAATTTCCTGCCTCATCTCAGGCTCAGCTACAGCTCACTAGGCCCCTAGAGTAGGCCTACTCTAATTTGAATTTAAAAAAAAGCCTTTTTGATTTCGGAAACTTGATTTGACTAGGTAGGTCTAAGCCTAGGCCCCCTAAAACTAGCTTAGGCTAGTCTGGGTGCTAGGCTTGTGTGAAACAGTTTGATCGGATCAGCCGACAGGCCCAAAATCCCGACGGACAATACACAACAAGTGCTTACTTCATATTTTGCATTATTCTGAAAAATCGTCTGTGATTTGTGACAAAGCTGAGCAAAAGCTGCACTCAACGCTGTCATTTTCTGTCGACCATCATAAGTGATATCGCACTGATCAGGATCTATTTCTCCAAGAAGTATATCTAAATCTACAAATGCTTTATCGAATTCTTTTTCCAATATTTCTAGCCAGTGTAGAGCTGCCATGTTGTCAATTTACAAATAGATTTGATTTTAGCGAAGATATTCTAGTTTCATTATGCGTTTGTTAAACGTCAATCGTCAATAGTGTAACGCGTTTGTACGGTTTTGTTTATATTTTGCGCATCTTGAAATAGCCTACAGCCCGCCCTCCAAATCGAGGACCCCCCCCCCCCCCCTGAGGCCCTCTAATGTGAAAGTATACCCGGACAGACCACCTATTTTTTAAAACTGAGCTTACCCTCTAATTATGAGACCCCTCTAATTGAGACCGAGCGCACCTTTATGGAAGTAGGTGACAAAATGACCTCCAATTCAAAACCACATTTAAAAATAAAATCAAACAAGATTAAAGTTTGAAAAATTTATTTTCATAAATTCATCCATATAAATAAAGGTTTCTTAAGTGTATTATATTTGAGAAAGCTAGTTTTTAAAAACAAATTTTTAGTTTTAGCAGGGAGTTGTTATAGTGCTATGACAACTCCCTCGTTTTAGGCAACTGGCTATCATAATATGCCTATTCAGTAAATGTTTTACAACAATTTGGCACCTATTGGCAAAAAGCGCTGTTGTCAGCTGCTTATCCCTAATTAATTTTATATATTCCTATGTTTCTGATTTTCTTCTTTAGCCGTTCAATTGCTGCACTACAAGGGTCATTCAAATTCAGCTCCAACAATGCCGTCGTACAGGTGGACGTAGCCCTTCCAGTACTTGGTCCCCACCCCCACCCCCTACCCCTACGATCAATGAGTCTAGCTAATTGGCTTCTATTTTCCACTTTATCATGGCCATGAGGAACTTTCAAACTCAGTGCAAAAGTTGCTAATTGAAGATTGGGAATACAAAGGAAAGGCCAAGTAACACAGAAGAGAATAACAAGTTATGTAAAGGATGGACACCTACATACCTAAACCTAACTTAAGTCAAATACAGTGTAAATGTTATGTTAACTTTACAGTATGCTGTTCAGATTTTTTCAATGTGTTTCAACAGCTTCAAGTTGGTCACAAAAAGAAAAATTAAAAGCAAACAATAGTTCTTTGAAATAAATAAATGGTCCCTTGTTGTGTTTTGGAGACCACTTTTATCTTCGGTTTTCATTTAGAGGTTTGTTCGGTTACCCTCCACTTATGCTGCTCGCAGACATATTCCAAGCCCACGGTTTTAGAGGTTCTAATTTGAGACCGAATCCCGAGACCACCGCTAGACACTCGCTAGTGGTCTGAAATTAGAGGGTGGACGGTATCGGAACAATGTACCGCCGGGCATCCTTGTTCAAAAAGTGTAAATCTAAATCATTGAAAAAAAACCCCACATATATAAGACTAATGCTTATCATACTGAGATCAGGCATTCTATGCGCTTTATATTTGGGTATATTTTATTATTATTAAAAAAAAACTCACACACAAATCAGTATTGCACCATGCACTGAATTGAAATACTAAATATAAAATTACAAAAATATAAAATTGGCAATAAAAAATTAAATTGAAAATATTAAAAAGACAGACGAAGTCAAAAATTACAAAAACAAGAGTGACATGAAAAAATTCAATACAAATTTAACAATTGAATCAATAAATATATATACATTTTTTTGTCTCCTTCATCACTTACTGTATTCATTTATGCCAATTGGATCCATAGATTTGTTTTAAATTCATGTGCAATTATGTCTTAATTAAATTTCGTAAGGTTTTAACAGTTTCTGCTAGATTTTAAAGATTATTTTAATGTATTTAATGACCTTTTATTTTATCTTATCTTATGTTATTCTCAATGTTTGAGGTTGATTTAAGACTATATTAATTATTTATTAATGTATATTGATATTGAAAAGTAAATTGGTGTATCTGTAAAGTTCTTAGAATCTTGCTGAGTTGCTTGATATTTTGTTACTATAAGTGTAAGCTTAGAAAAAAAAGTTTCTTGAATTTAAAATTTTGCAATCCGGTAACCTATGTGACAAGAAACGCGTCGTGTAACCTACCAAACGCTACACATGACATGCCAACAAGCTGTGAGGTCTAGTTTATTTTCCATGGATGACGTCATGAAAGACGTAACGTAAACAAAGGGGGAAGCCGACCGGTATCTCTACTGATTTTTCACTGATGTTAATACAGTACAAATATCATTAAATTACTTACCAGGAATGGTCTATACAACACAATATAGAAATGGCATTATTGAATTCAGCCCATTCATTTTAATGAAGACAATATTGTCTTATTCTAATGTTCAATTAAAAAATTGTAATATTTCAAATTATATATGTATTTTAT